AGGGAAGGGGGGGGGGGGGGGGGGCTCTTATGTTTTGCATGCCTTAGCGGTTACACCAGTGACCACGTATTACGGAAGGACGGAGCATGTTCCCACACGACGACCGATCACCGACAGGCAATCGTTCCTTCCTACTTGGTTTTTGCCAAGGGTGGCTCAAAAATCTTTTCCCTATTGACGGTGTGTGTGTGTGAAGTACTCATGAAAACGCTGCCGCAGTCGTTAGACCATTGACCTCGCATCCCTACAATGCCGGGAAGGGGCGATATCGCCGGCCCAGGAAACGTTTCACAAGGAGGAACTAGAAACTTGTAATTTTCCTTGCGTTGGCTGTGCCAAACCACGTAGGTAGGGAGGGAGGGGGGCAGGGAGGGGGGGTGCAAGACTACAATTCAGAGTTTTTGGTGCTGGTGGAGGTCTGCTGCTTCCCGGGGGGGCGAACGCTGCCGCTACTCGGTTGGCGGCTTCTGATGATGACGTTGCTTGCCATATAGATTCAGAAGCGTTGTTGTATTAACGGCCGCCTTATTTCTCAGTGTAAGCCAGGCGTGACCGTCATTCCTCAAGCGGCAGCCACTTGGCTTCCGGCAGTTTTGCGAGGCCCGGCTGTGGCCGTCCGTACTTCTGCGGTTCTGTAGAAGTAGCCTGTACAGCCAATGCCTTTCTCTTACTTGACTGGTCGACCGGGGTAACGACCGCTGTTGCGTGAACCGGAAGACCGCCGTACTGGAGGCTAGATGTTTTTTTTATTGTCTGAAGGCTACAGCAACGAAAGCGATAGCGACACCATTCCGTCAGGCGTAGTCGCCGTTCGCAAGCAGTGGCGGAGGCACGAGTTTCCGTCATCACGGCTATACAACACACAGTAGGAATAACGTATCAGAACAAGCCCCAATCAGCGCAACAGACAAGCTCCAAGAAGCAAATGCTAAGCGGTGCCAGACTGTATCCTGTATAGGGCTTGGGGCTAAACCCGTTGTGACTCGCGAAGAAAGACTTATCGTAGCTATCTGAACCTCTTGTTTTGTTGTTGTTTTCTTGTCGGCCCCAACTGACCTCCCTGCACCAGGGACTCACCGCTGCTGAAGTGCAGAGCAGGCTGGCAATGTACGGCCCCAACAGCTTGAGGGAGCCGGAAAAGCAGGTGAAACCCCCCCCCCCCGCCCCCCCCCGGTGTTCGCCATCGGGATTGGGTTTTCGTCGCTTGGCAACGACGTTGTAAAACAAGCCAATTCACTTCGTGAACTCGGCAACCAGGTTACCTTTTTTTTTTTACCTCTGTTTTGTGTTTTTTGGCGATATCCATAATGGTGGTCGAGTAGATCATGTTGTGCGGGGTGGAGAACCCTCACTCCGCGCAAGGGGGATGATCGCACCACGTTGTGTTGAAATGGTCAAGCACCCTCGAGGCAGTTACACAGTGCTTACAACTGTCTCTGGAAGTGAAAGCACCAGAAAATAAATTAATTCATACGCAGCTGTCATCCGTACGCAAGGAAGTAAGCACAAGATGCCGAACACCCTTAGCAGGATGCAGCGCACCCTTCATGCGACTCGCCGAATATCTCACGGCGCTTCGCGCTTGGTGATGTGAGAGCCTGGTCCGGTGAGAACCCGGCGTGCTCCGTCCCGGCTTTGTAGGGATGCGAGGTCAATGGTCTAACGACTACGGCATGCACGACTATGAGTACACCCCCCTCCCCCCCGCGTTTTTTTATGTGTCCCGACGCGTTCGTTTCAGCGTCGATACATCTTTTATCGATCCATGCACGCGGCGTCATATCGGTTCAGACCAGTCACTCGCACGAGTGTTGAGTCGTGCGGTGAGGATGCCAGATAGCCACCCCTCGAAGTCGATCAATCGCACGGATAAAACTCTCTGATATGCGCAAATGATGGGATAATCTTGTTCGAAGCGTTGAGGCCGTCAGTGTTTTGTTTTGTCTGGTTGGATAAAGATAAGTCAGAGTCGTTGGAGGTCGAGGTACGTGCGTGCTCTATGCGAGAGTTCTTGCGGCGGTGATGATTTGGCTCTGTTGTTGCGCAAGTCAGACTCTTCACATGTTGATGCGTACCGTCATTTTTCACTGCCGTGATTTTATCCACCCGTTTCGAACTTCCTCGCGCCAACAACCGGACGAGCATGGATAAAAATACAACAGCAGCACCAGTGTTG